CAGAGAAGTGAGATGGGTCGGTAGTTAGATTTGTCTTGTTCGTTATCCTTCTTGAAGATTGGACAAATTTTTGCAATTTTCCATGCATTTGGTATTAATTTGGTGCTTGCAGATTTGTAGCAGATGTCAGTCAAAGATGGTGCTATAGCGTTGTCTGCGAGTTTTAGTAATTTKGGAGACACGTTGTCTAAACCCATGGATTTAGATGATTTGAGTTTAGAGACTTGTTGACGGATGATCTCACAAGTCACATTAATGGTGGGCAGGAACAGTGGTTGAGTTTGGCTAGTATATGTGGCTACATGATCTGCTTCTGGTTGTYTTGGTGGTAACTCAGAGGCCAATAATTCTCCTACTGTAGAGAAGTGTTGGTTCAGAATTTCAGCTTTTTCCTGGTTTTCTGTAGCTAGGGTGTTGTCTTCACGTCTGATAACGTTAATAGGAGATGAACTCTTGGAACGAGATGATGATTCGTTGACCAGTTTCCAGTAGCTCTTGGTGTCCTTAACTTTATCAAACAGTTGTTTGTAGTATTCAGCTTTTGCTTTCCTAACCTCTGTCGTCAATTGGTTCCTCATTTCTCGGTACTTTTTCCATAAGATGGGGTCGTTGAACTTGATGGCTTGATGGTAGGTCTTGTATCTTTGATTCATTTTGTGTCTGATCATAGGTGTTATCCATGGCAGTGACTGGCTGCGCACTTTAAAGCTTCTGCTGAAAGGTGCATGTTTTTCACAGATGTCTCCAAATAATTTTGTCCAGGCCCAATATGTGTCGTCAAGATCATCAAACGCGTGGCAAACAGACCATGGTGCATCTTCTAAATCTTTTTGGAAKTCTGTCTGGTYGAAGTTCTYATAGTTACGCGCCCTGATGATCTTGGGAGGCGGGCGTCTTATCTTGGCGTCGAGGCTGGCGTAAACAAGCTTGTGATCTGAAATACCAAGTTCTCTAGTTCCAGTGGATTTGACCAGACCAACTTTATTGGATATCACTAGATCAATCAGTGTTGCAGTATTGAGGGTGACTCTTGTTGGCGTGTCGTTGCAGACTTGCATGCCGAACTGATTCAGAAGATTTGATAGTTTATTTCYAAGATGTCCTGCAGTACCGGTTTTCTTGTTGTATAAGTCGCAGTTCAGATCGYCAAGTATGACTATGTTTTGTTGTTTTAGCCAGATCCTCTCCAGAGGTTGGGCGAAGTTGGAGAAAARTTCGTTATCACTTGGTGGTCTATACACAACTCCCATAAGCACCATTGACGCACCAGCCCTTACTTTAATCCAAATTGCTTCGATGTTACTGTAGTCAAAGCATTTTTGATGTTGTACAGATAAGTGGTTTGCAACATAAAATGCACATCCACCGCCTGATCCTCCATGTCTATCTCGCCGCAGTAGTCTGTAGTTGTCAATGGCAAGCTGTTTGTTTAGTACAGAACTGTCCAGACATGTCTCGGTGATTGCCAGAATGTCGTACTTGTGTTCTTGAAGGAGCATTTTGATGTCGTCTACTTTATATCTTAGACTTCTGACGTTAAGATGAGCAACATACAGCGACGTACGCGTGTTGTTGTTGGTAGTATTTTGACTAGCTTGGTTACGCGTCATATTCAACTGTTTGAGCTCGAGCTTGTTGTCTAAACAGTTCTTTTTGCGCGCGCGCTTTCACCCACGACGGTTTCAGCTCGAGCTTGAAATTCAAATMAAATAAAACAAACAAAATCTAATGTTTTTGAATTGGAAAGGAAAAACTAACGAACAAAATAACCGAATAACAAATCTGAAATATATGAAAAAAATCTAAGAAAAGATGTAAAAATAAAGAATTTAGTAACGATATATTAGTTAATGACAATAAACAAAATTCAGAATAAGAATAATGAAAAGATAAGTGAGCAACCAATCAACCAAACGTAGTTGAAGACACGAAAGTAATTTGTCTATGTTTGTTTGATAACGGTAACAAACAAACAAAAAAAACAAAAAAAAA